AAAGAGAAAACAAACAAAGAAAAAAGTCCGCAGGGATCCCACCAGTGTGGGAAGCAGTTCCCCAGCTGAGCAGTGCTTTACAGCCCGTGAAGAAGAAGCAAAGAGGGCACATGGAGTCACGTGTTCGAGAGAAAGGAGAGTGGAGGAGGTGAGAGGCAGGGAAGAAGCCAAAAGAGGCCGAAAAAAGCAATACCAGCAACAAGGAAATGGCACTGAAGAAGCTGGCCGGTGTGGGTGGGGTGAATTCGCACGGCATGGAACTGGCGCCTCCCGTGCTGCGGTCGCAGCCTGCTTGGGAGTGGCTGATCGGCTCTCTGGGAAGCCGGTAATCTGCCCGCCAGGAAGTAGCAAATTGGCCTGCCAGGAACCTGGGAATCTGCTTTCTGGGAAGCAGCAGACTGACTGCCTGGGAAGCGGCAAAGGTCAAGCAGGGGGAGGCCGGGTAAGGGGTGGGAAACCATGTATCGCTGGTTACCAGGTGCTCTGTCTCCTTCTGGGAGCTCTGTGAATCTCTTTTCTTTACTCCCTGTCTGCTGATCTCTGCCAGGAGTCCAAGATGGTAGATCCGTGCTCCATTAGCTGATAGGGGACCTCAACTCGTAACTCAGGATCCTCACTCTCTGTTCTCTGTCAGTTTCTTTACCAGTCGGTGCTTGGTTGAGTTCTCTATCTCTTCATTTCATGCTTAGAGTTCCAGGATTGACATTTGTCTCTATTTTACTTAGTTTTTCAGATCTTTGCTGTGGAGGGACAGTGTGGTGCTTCTGTCTATAGCACTATGTTCCCAGAATCTCCCATATATTTTTTTTATTAGTCAGTGCCCCAATTAACAGGAAATCCAATATCACCCTCTTTATGCAATCTCCCCCCACTCCTAAATTATCCAAGTTTGAACCCGGGAGGCTTACTAAGCCCCCAGGTGATTCCATCCTCTTCCAAATGCCAGAAGGAGAACTGCAGTCTTAATAGTACGCTATTTCTCTTGCTTCTCTTTATTGTTCTCTGTCAGTATTGTAGACCAGCCCAGTACTGTTTGTTGATGGTTGCTTGCCTAACCGCTGCTGGGATGTCATTTCTGGTAAGACTATGGCCCAGGCCAGAGCAGTAACACCAACTGGAGGTCACGTTTGCAGTTTTTTTTTTTAGTTTACACTCTTGGACTCAACAATTTAGTGTGCCAGGGAGGCTGGGGTCAGAGACATTTCAGCATCAGCCTCATGCTGGGCCAGAATCTGTTCTCCCTAGGAAACTCATAACCCCTTGTGTGTGCTCCTAGATCACCAGTTTCAATTAGTCCTTCTTCAAGGTCATTTTATTTCCAGAGTGTCTTTATCTTTCCTGGCCAGTGGGACTTGGTTTGAGGCTATAAAGTCATCTATGACAGGACTCCTTAACGCTGAATCTCAGAAATCAAATATCAGAGTAATGTGTCTTGCCTAGAGTCCTAGGAAGTTGGTCTCCTTGATTCTTGTAACAAATTGTGCATATTGAGAGGCTGAGGCATTTTCTAAGCTATTTAACTCTTCCCCTTTCCCACTGCGACCTTTCCCCCAGTCCTAAAGACAGTGGTGCCTACCTTTTGCTTAATTAGCTAAGGGAACATTCAAGTAGCTCTGCTCTCAACAAAAAAGATCCATGTCAGGGTGACCTAAGATCTCTTCCCCTAAACATAAGAAAGA